GCAGGTGCGCCTCCCAAGCCAAGGGGGTCGGCTCGCCGTCTTGCCGGGCCGGCGCCTGATGCAAGATGGCTGTGGTCCGTGAGCCTCTGCAACAATGATGCCAGCTCCCCGCACCGGGGGCCTGCCTGCCCGTCCCGCAGCCGGTCTCCCCGGCCGGTTGGGCCCTCGCCCCGTGGCAGTCGTGCTCGGTGGCGGTGCCCCATCGGGGTATAATACGATGTCAGCGTCTCCTGCATAAGTTTAGAGGCGGCAGAAAGCAAGAACGTGTGTTTTAGGGATTATTACATTTTCCAGTTCTCAGTAGCACGGCTCAAGTCATCCCGTTATCAGTGCATGGGCCTGGAAGATGTGGACCCTCCGCAGATGGTGTTGACAACTGTGTGCGAAGGTTTTCAGTACAAGTGTCATGCAGACAACCCGTAGGAGAGCGAAGGAGGTGCATTTCAGGGATGAAGGGCTCTATTTGTCATCTGGAGATCTTAGAAAGCATCTGAGTCGTCCACGTTATCCTGCACGGACATATGGAAATGAGGGAGCGAATAGATCTGTGCAAGGTCACTCAAGTGAGAAACAGTCCCAGGAGAAACAAACAAACAATCCAAGAAAAAAAAAAAAATCCAGGCCTCCTGTTTCATTATTATTGCATGAAAGTTAAGTGTCCCTGGTCGCTGTGCGGAGCGCGCGCAGTCTGCTAGCTTATCCGGACAGCACATGTGCAAAAAAGCCCAGACAGCTGCCCAGCTACGCGTTGCCATAATTCAGACCGAGAAGTGTTTTTTGGATTTTGCTTTTTTTTTTTTTTTTTGGTCCCCTCCAGAAAACCAAAATATTTGTTGGGTTTATCCAGAAAGGCTGTTCTACATCAATTAAATTCCCCATGTCTTCAAGAAATGTTAAACGGCCCTAACCGGTTTGGCTCAGTGGATAGAGCGTCAGCCTGCGGACTCAAGAGTCCCAGGTTCCATTCCGGTCAAGGGCATGTACCTGGGTTGTGAGCACATCCCCAGTGGGGAGTGTGCAGGAGGCAGCTGATAAATGTTTCTCTCTCATTGATGTTTCTAACTCTCTATCCCTCTCCCTTCCTCTCTGTAAAAATCAATAAAATATATATTTTTTAAAAAGAAATGTTAAACGACATGGGTGATGTTCTCTTTATATGGTAGGTTTTTCTACAGCTCCTTTTTTTTTTTGGCTTAAAAATATTTCTAAAGAAGGGAGAGGCTATTTGAGGTGAAACAGAACTTGGATGAGGGGATAGGAGGGAGGTCCTTTGGAGTTCCAGGCAAGAGCATGTACCTGGGTTGCAGGTTTGATCCTCTGCCCGCATGGGGGAAGCAACCAGTCAATGTGTCTCTCTCACATCAATGTTTCTCCCTCTCTCTCTCTCTTCCTCTCCTCTCCCCATCCCTCCTTTCCACTCTCTCTAAAAAACAAAAATCAATGGAAAAAATATCCTCGGGTGAGGATTAACAACAACAAAAAATATCCTGAGGCTTTGGATTCCAGTCCTCTCTCCAAAGCAGTCCCTCCTTCAGTCTTGCCCAGTAAATGGTGTTATGATTTATTCACCTGCTCAAACCGAAAAACACAGGCATTCTCCTTAAGCTTCCCTTTCTCTCACCCCCATCGTCCTATTGGTCGTACCTCTGAAAGGGGTCCCAGAAGGATCTATTCCTCTCTCACCTCTCCCAAGGCCCCCAGTCACTTCCTGTATGACCTCTCTCCACTCCTGCACCCCTGTATTCCTCTCTCTCCGGCAGCCTGCAGAGATGAGGGTTATAGAATGTAAATCAGATGGTCACACCCTTGCTGACATCCCAGCAGTGGCCTCCCACTGGTCTTGGTTAAAATTGGCATTTGCAGGACCTACCACCATGCCTGCCCTCGCTCGTGACACTTGAATATACTGACCCCCAGCTTTTAGCAGGGCTGGCTCACTCACCTTCTAATCTAAAGCAACATTTTCCCATGTCTTTTTACTCTTAGGAAAATGGTCTGCCCCCCTGTTGTCTGTGTCCATTGGTTAGGCCCGTGGTCGGCAAACTGCAGCTCGCGAGCCACATGCGGCTCTTTGGCCCCTTGAGTGTGGCTCTTCCTAAGCCTTAGGAGTACCCTAATTAAGTTAGTAACAATGTACCTACCTATATAGTTTAAGTTTAAAAAATTTGGCTCTCAAAAGAAATTTCAATCGTTGTACTGTTGATATTTGGCTCTGTTGACTAATGAGTTTGCGGACCACTGGGTTAGGCCTATATGCTTGCATGTAAGTCCTTTGGTTGATCGCTAAAATTGTGTATTTATTTTGGTAAATGCTGGGAAAACTATACACTAGTATGTATCTATACACTGGATGGTGGTTTTTATGGGTGAGACATTTTTCTTCCTAGTTTTCAAAATTTTAATAATATGGTTATATTACTTTTATAGTGAAATTTTTTAAATAAAAGCTCTTAAAAGTACAATTACAATCACATGACATTATGATGAGAATCTTCCCACCTAAAAACACCAGGACACATGGCCTGGCTTATGGTCTGGCCATAAGTCACAGGGTTTTTGAAACTGTAATTATTCCCCCAGATCTAGGACTCAAACATATACATAAACTGGCCATTGATGGCTATAAGACAGACATGAGTAGGACCACTCAGCTGTATATTTTTTTAAAATATATTTTATTGATTTTTTTACAGATAGGAAGGGAGAGGGATAGAGAGTTAGAAACATTGATGAGAGAGAAGCATCGATCAGCTGCCTCCTGCACACCCCCTACTGGGGATGTGCCTGCAACCAAGGTACATGCCCTATGATCGGAATTGAACCTGAGACCCTTCAGTCCGCAGGCTGATGCTCTATCCAGTGAGCCAAACCAGCTAGGGCCACTCAGCTGTATTTGAGGCAACCCCCTCCGGACACTATGTTGTAGGTGACTCAAGGCCACCCACAGTGCCATAGTCCCAGGAGAGTACAAGCTGTCAGAGGACCAAGTAAAATTGATACCTTGCTGTGGCTAAAACAATGGGTCTTTTCAGCAATGGTCCCCACCCAGGACACTTCCTTGTTCGTAGCATCCTCATTCCATACAAAGGAAGCCCCGTCAGTCCCAACCGAGGTGAACACTGGGACAACGGCATGGTAATGTCATGGCCATGATTTAGAAGCTTTTCAAAGGGGTGCACAGGGGCACATTCTCCTACGTTTCTCTTCTGCTGGAACATTTTAGAAAAGGAGACTTCCTCCCCGCCCTGCATTGAGTCGAACATCCAAGGTGGTGCCAGGACAGTAAGCCAGATGTCATTGTTGATCTCTCTCTCTCTCTCTCTCTCTCTCTCTCTCTCTCTCCCCCCCCCCTAGTACATAAACTCCAAATTAAGACTTAATAAAAAGTTCTTGCTGAATTCCCTAAAGATTCGTTCATTCAGTCATTTGTTCACTTGCTAAAGGGTAATGAAAACAGGCCCAGTTTATTACATCCTGGTATTGACGAGCACAGAAAAACATCCCTCTCCTTCCAGTTTATAGGCTCGATCAGAGTTCACAGGAGTTGCTGGAGAAGGTGGGGGTCTGTGGACTTCGGACCTACTGATCGGTGTGAGAGGGGCCACACGTTCCTCGGGGAGTAGGGCTGGAAGGGGGGGGGGGGTCCTTGGGGAATTGCTAGCAAAAGTGGTCCTCACGGGCGTGCCCCCAGGGAGGCCTTGGGAGGCTGGTGCCTCCTGGTGTGCTGAGATGAGGTGGACATTTAGAAGGAGGTTTAGAAAGAGGAAGTAGACACAGAGGGCAAACGTCACTACTAGACAAGTCTGTCTCTTGAGTGAGGGGCAGTAAGACTGGCTTTTTCTTTCGGAATCCACCGCTGGAGTTTGGCCTACCTTTTGATTCGGCTAACACGAGAGTGTTCATGGCCACCTGCCTAGGAAGCTTCCTAGAATTTTATTTATTTTTATTTATTTTTTTAAAAAAAATATTGATTTTTTACAGAGAGGAAGGGAGAGGAATAGAGAGTTAGAAACATCGATGAGAGAGAAACATCGATCAGCTGCCTCCTGCACACCTCCCACTGGGGATGTGCCCGCAACCCAGGTACATGCCCTTGACCGGAACCAAACCTGGGACCCTTCAGTCCACAGGCCGACGCTCTATCCACTGAGCCAAACCAGCTAGGGCTATTTATTTATTTATTTATTTATTTTTTAAATATATTTTATTGATTTTTTTACAGAGAGGAAGGGAGAGAGATAGAGAGTTAGAAACATCGATGAGAGAGAAACATCCATCAGCTGCCTCCTGCACATCTCCCACTGGGGATGTGCCCGCAACCCAGGTACATGCCCTTGACCGGAATCGAACCTGAGACCTTTCGGTCCGCAGGCCGACGCTCTATCCACTGAGCCAAACCGGTTTCGGCTATTTATTTATTTTTAAATATATTTGTATTGATTTCAGGGAGGCAGGGAGAGGGAGAGAGTGATAGAAACATCAATGATGTGAGAGAATCATCGATCGGCTGCCTCCTGCACACCCTACACTGAGTATTGAGCCCACAACCTGGGCATGTGCCCTGACCAGGAATTGAACCGTGATCTCCTGGTTCATAGGTCGCCCCTCAACCACTGAGCCACGCTGGCCGGGCCCTAGACATTTATTGAGCAGATTTCTTGGATGCCTGAGAGCTGATGCTTACCTAGCATTAGTCTGAGCACTTTCCTAAGTATTGGACCCGAGAAGGATGTCCGCAGGGTGGGCAGGAGCTGCGAATTGCTTATCCTGCCAGAGACTTAGACAAGTACAGGCTCCCTCTTCACCCACTGAGCGCAGGTCTGTTGGCCTTCAGGGGGCCTAGCTGTCCTGTTCTTGTCTTTGAGAGGATTTCTGGAGTGTACAGACCTAGTGATGCTCAGCAGCCTAAAACGCTTTGTTCTTCTGAAAAAACGCTTTGTTCTTCTGAAAATAAGAAGACTGTCTGTCCTCTCTGCAAGCGTGGTTGTGAAAAGGAGCGATCCGCGTTAGTTCTAGCTGATCCAGCACAGTCTCTGCATCTTAGTTCATTGGGAAAACCGAGGGAATCGGGCGTGAGCTCCACTGACTCCTCCCCGTAGACGTCTCCATGGGACCACCCTCCCCTGCCTGCCTCAGGCTCAGGGAACGGGGTCCCTCCTGCCTGCTTTGGGGGCTCTCCTCATCAGACACATCAGGTCCTGGCAGAGGAGAAATGGCTGCAGAGCAGCGCTAGGGCTTAACTGAGGGGTGTGGGCAGCGTAAGACAGGGCCTTGGGCACAAGCCACAGCGGGGAGCCTTCCCTACCAGGCTTTGGGGAAAGGGAAGAGCTGGCACGGTGAGGGGGGGATGCCTGAGGGAATGGGGACCTTAAAATGAGGGGAGTGGAGTTGTGTCTGAGAGTGGCAAGCCTTGCCTCTC